CCTTCCTGCATGCCCATGCAAAACAAATAAACAAACAACACAAAAAGTAATAACACGGAGACATGTATAGTCAGGTCGTTCCCAAGAACCTTCCATTGGGGAGAGCTACAGTTCTCCACAGGCAAATAATAACAGATCCAATTTTCCAGCAAAGCATATCAAACTGATGAAAAAAAGGGCAACACATCCCTTAATTATTAATATCTGTAAGACAGGATTTCAGTAGCTAGATGCTAATATTTTTGTCAAGGTGGAGACCAAGGTCAAAACAAGGTTCAAAATAATGCTGCTGCCGCCCCTGCATGTGCCCGAGCACCCACCGGACAGCACCGCCTCCCTCGCTCCTTCTACAGTGAAACCCCAGGAAGCAGCAGAGTTCTCAGGAATGCTTTCAGGTCTGGAATCTGAGAGCCCAACATTCACCTCCTCTAAACCCCAAACGTGCCCTGGTTTGGGCACTTTGTCCTCAGGACAGTTGTACTCAGGCACCCCGCTTACCTGCTCAGCTACAAAGCTATCGGAATCGAGGCGGGGAGCTCCACTCATGCCAAAGGAGATGCCATGTGTACGAGAAGCTAACACAAACACGGGGCATCCCACGTCTGCTACTGGAGTCTTCTTCTATTTAAACTAGAGGTTTAAAACTAACACAAGGCCGCTAGCTGTCCTCTCTCACAAACTCCATTCCTGGCAAACTGAGGAGGGATTCATATGACTCGAGCAGCTGTTCTTGGAGCTATTTGTCAACAGTTAAAGCGAACTTGTGACCCTTCGATATAAGAAACAGGAGACCGTATGGTGAGGACATGGCAGTGGGTGATGGAGATCCACCATCCATTTTGCAAGTGGCTTCTTAAAACACAGCCCCTCCGATGTTGTTTTGCTCTAAGACAGGGTCTCTCAACAGACCCCTCCCTGAGTGTCCTGAAACTCACTATATAGATGAAACTGGCCTCAAACTCACAGAAATCTGCCTACCTCTGCCTCTCAAAGACTGGGATTAAAAGGCATATGCTACTCTGCCTGACTCACAGTCCCTAAATTTGACCCACATTATATTTACTCAAAACTGGGGCTGGAGAGATAGCTCTAGATGCACCTCTAGAGGGCCTGGGTTCGATTCCCAGCACCTACACAGCATCATACAACTGTCTACAGTTCCAGGGGATTATTTGCATCATGCATGCATGTGGTGCACATATCTGTGCATGCAGGCAAAACACCCATACACATGAAATAAATAAATCAATCTTTAAAAAAAAGTTAGACAACTCAGGGTAGGAAAAATGCATATATGCATGTATATGAATATGTGTGTCCTGTGTGTGTGTGTGGCAAGGGGGGAGACAGAGAAAATGAGAATGTTTGGGCAGATGAGAGCTATGAGCCTCCTCACTGTAAAGAGAAACTCTCAGTTAAACTGAGAGCAAAAGAAGCTACATCAAGTAAAACACTGGGCTCCTGAGCTGGGGAGACAGCTTTAGTAGGTATAGTATTTTCTGTACATGTACAAGGACCAGAGTTCAGATCCCCAGAACCCATGGAGAGTCAGGTAGAGTTGTGTGGATCCTGGTGCACACATGGCAAGATGGGAAGCAGCAATGGAGAATCCCCAGAAGCTCACACAGCAGGTGGTTGGGCGGATGCAACTCCGAATGGCAGGAGACCCTGCTTCAGCAACAAAGTTGGGGACTGACCCTCAAGATTGCCCTCTGGCCTCCATGTGAACTCCCACCACGCCTGGACTCCCAACCTTAATGTCCCTGTCCTCTTAGCCTTTTCTTTTTGTTATGGAAACCACAAGACAGCAGAAAGAACAGTACAGAGACCTGCAGCTACACTGCGCTTTAGTCCTGCATGGGTTACCGTATTTGAGCCTCCGAACCTCTGTAGGCTTCAGAAAAAGCACACACACAAGTTCTGACCTATTCTTTAGAAGTGCCATGTACTGCTAAGGGCGTGGTATCCCTGCCTCACTCAAAGAACAAAGAGAAAGAAAGAAACTCATTTCAAGGTCTTACCACATTCAGTATGGAGTTTAAGGGGTGCAGGGCCTAGGGAATTCCACAGAACCAAAGGGCTGAGTAGTCTCCAATCCTCAATCCAACAGGCACGGAAGGCATTGAAAATGCTTGAAAACTTGGAGTTGGACAGTTGGCTCGGTGTTAACAGCACTTACTGTTCTTGCAGGGGACCTGGAGTTCAATTCCCAGTACCCACATGGTGGCTCAGAACATTCCATGATTACAGTTTTAGAGGATCCAGGAACCCTCTTCTGACCTCCATGGGTACCAGTCACACAATGCATATACATGCAGGCAAAATATAACACATACAATGAATCTTTTAAAAAAAATCAATAAAATGTTTGAAAACTCTAATGAGGCTCCACAATTCAGAGGACACACATGTGCATGTGCACACACACACACACACAGACACACACAGCCTTTGTTATGGTTATGCAAACATAATCAAGACAGAGCTGAAGCAGTAGTCTAGCCATAGACCTCATCCATGCTCCAGGCAGAAGAGAGGCTGCGATCCTACCCAGAGACACGCTGTATTCTCCCATGTGGAGTAAGACCAGCTCTGTCTGGTGAGACCCTTGGCCTCCCTAGGGTACCCTCCCAACGTGGTTGATTAGAGGTGTGTGCTATGACTGTCCACAAGCCAGGCAGGACACTGCAGCAGCATGGAGCACGCAGCACGTAGACATGCCCACTGCTCGTCATCTCAGATGCAGGGATCTTAGTATACATTAAAATAATTAGGAAGTGATGGGCTTTGAACATGCATTACTTTTGATTTTTAAATACAATTTGCTTTTGATAATGGTTGTACTGTAGTGTTTTGCAGTTTCTGAAAGCTGGGCAATGGGGACGAACTCCATAAGCAGCTAACTACAGGTTGATGTGCCTGGGACCGACTGTCTTCCTGGCCATTCTTAAGCACGGGGAGAATATGAACTCAGTTTCACAAAACAAAAGAAAAACCCTTAGTGCCAGCATGTCGGCCTGTGAGTTTCCAAATGGGCCGACTTCTTTGTCCCAATGCTGCTCCTCCCCTCACAGAAGCTGCTCCTCGGGCTCCCATTTCCTCTACTGACCCAGGGGAGAGCCCTATCCCCGAGGCCACAAGCTGCAGACAAAGGACATTTATAATGAAGGCAGTCCTTCAAGCTGGAACTTCAGCTGTTATTTCCCATTAAGAACAGAGCCCTGGGCAGTTAAGAGCACTGGCTGCTCTTCAAGAGGTCATGAGTTCAAGTTCCAGCAACCACGCAGTGGCTCACAATCATCTCTAGTGGGATCTGATGCCCTCTTCTGGCATAAAGGTGTACATGCAGACAGAGTGCTCATATACATAAAACAAACAAATCTGGGGGGGGTAGAGGGAGGGAGGGAGGGAGGTAAAGAGGGGGAGGAGGGGGCGAACCCTGGATCTACTGGGTGAATGTTGGTGATGAAGGAACATGTACAGGCTGTTGTTAGTTTTCACTGAGACTTCAGGGGAGAGCTGCAGGCTGAAGTGGTCACAGGCCTAGGGCAGGTCTCTTCCACCTCTTCCTGTTTCACTGAGCTAGACGGCTTTGCAGATTCCACAAGATGGTACTGATAGGTGGCAGCCTCATTACTGTGTATTGTGAGGGTGCCAGATCATGAGCTGCCTCTTGGCAAAAGAGGAACAAACCCCCTGCTCCCTGCGGCATCACGGGAGCTGGAATCTAGTAGCAGCTAGAACGATCTCACCCTATAAATATGTATGGGCATGCAATATGCAATATAATGAAGAAAGATCATCAGGGACAAAACATAGTTAGAAAGAGCAGCATATTAACAAGAAAAACCTGCATGAAAAACTCTGGCGATGCCAAGGTTGCAGGGGTAGAAGGCAAACACGCAGTTTGCTATATATTAAAGCGGAGGCCGCTGACAGGCCAACCGGAGTCAGTGTGAGTTCTCCGCTTCCATTCCTCCCCAGGCCTGACCCATCAGACACCCAGAGAACACACCACCGTGAGGACCGCAGGTTATATCCGTAGCCTTCGGGTTGGGGCCAACCTGAGGACCATAAATCAGGAAATTCTAGGAAAACAAAGACTCATATTCGTGCTTTAAAATTAAAAACCAATTAAAGGGAAGGGACTCGCAATGCAGGACAACGATATGTTGAAAAGCCGGAAGCTGTGTACACGGGACACCTTCACTTTGAAACATGGCATTGCTGTATGTAGCACTCACCACTTCCACATTTAACATTAGATACCCGAGTCTCTGAATTCGCCTAAGATGAACATCAATGGGAACTGTGGTGTACAGCAGCAAGTTGGAAGGCGGGATATGCTAAGTAACTCTAGAGTATAATTTAGGGACAAAACCAACTGTCAAGAAACAGCCAGAGACTACATCTAATGAAATCTTTACAGACTGATGTAATAGGTATTAAATTAATCAACATAGCTTAATTGAAGCTCTATCTGTAACATTTTTTTTATTAGACTTGTTATTAATGAGCCTTTAAATGCTACAACTAACTTGAGCTCTGTGTTAAATTTAAATAATGAACCATTGTTCCCACACAAAAAGAACAAACAACACTCTAATGGGCTTTCTTTTCTCCAAGGGCCTTTTGCAGGCAGAGGGAGGAAGAGAGTCCCTGCTTCCTCGCCACCGCGGTGGGTTGGCAACATACCACAATGAAGGCGGCTAAAGGAGCTCAAAATAACCACAGTGCAATCGCTAAGGCAGGAGAATGCAGCAGCTAAGACCAGAAGGGAGATAAGAGCTTAAGTACCAGAGAGGTACTTCCCATCAACCTCAACCACCTCCAGTCACATGCCACACCGTAAGGACGTGTACCCCGAGTCGCTGGCTAGAGCAGCTGGGCCTCTGTCACTGCACATCACCTCCTGAGCAGGTATATGTTGGAACGCATCCCATTGCTGGGCAACTGAGGACTCTGCCCAGGACTGCACCGGCTAGTCTTCGAATACTTACCTGAACATGTCTCCCAAGCCTTTCAGCATTCCCTTCTTGGCTTTCAGCTTCTCCTTCTCCTTCTCCCGGTCCTTTTTCTTTTCCTTTCCCGTTTTGTCCTTTTTCCTATCCGTCTTGTCCCTCTTCTCTGGGTTCCCATTCATTTGCCTCTCCAGAGAGTAGGAAGGCTGATCACTAGATGTGGATACGGACTCCCTCCCTGACCTCGAGCTCTCTTCGGTGTCTTCTTCCACTTGAACGGGGGAAAAGAAGAGAAAGAATACAGTGAACCACAGCAACAACCTAAGGACACGCCACTCTCCTATGGTTTCTACAGCAGAAGGCACCTCCCATCGACTGGGATCACATGCAGAAGCAAAGGGACATGTGATACGGTGATTCCAGACTTCAAGTCACTCCTGAATCCTAAGGTGATTTCTTTCCAACATAGATAGATCCATGTCCTTGGTCTTACATAAAATGGAGCAGAATATGACAACTAAGTGTCCTCTAAATTCTTTGGGCTGCAAATCAGGTCAATACCCTGACCTCTCTATTGGCCACAGGACACCAGGATGTAAGTACCAAGAGCTGAGGACCACAGAGGACACCCTGTGGATTTCATCCAGTAACCTCAGATTTCTGCTATTAACTAAATCCTCGAAACACTGAGACTAGTCAGTGAAATGATGGCATGTCCAAGCAACACTGTTCTGCATCGTTTTCAAGATACCAGCTGTAGAGTGGAAGGGACAAAAAGCAAGGTGAAGAATTCTTCTTATGGGATACAGATCTTCAATAGGAGTCAGTATATTTCTGCTCTCAGAAAGTCAATCCCTAGACACAACCAAAGTCCCGACATAGGAGCTGGAGAGATGGCTGTGGGGTAAGATACTGTCCTATTCTTTCACAGGACCTGAGTTTGGATCCCAGCACCATACTGGTTGGCTCACAACCATCTGTAAATCTAGCTCCAAAGGGACCCAATGCTTCTGTTCTAGAAGGGCAGCCCCCACTTGTCCGATCCAAACACATAGGTATATTTAAATGATAACAGACAAACACCTGACCTAACTCTAGCTCCAGGGGAGCTGATGCCCTTTTCTGGATTTTGTGGGCACCTTAACTTGCACGTGCACATGGGCACAGACCTACATTCTGACACACACATAGACACAGTGTGTTTTTAAAAGCTAGGTTAGCTACATTGTAACGGTGGCTAGCCTTAGGTACACTACACCCTGTTTCAAAATAAAATGAACCAAACAGAAAGAAGTCTCAGAAAATGTGTTTCTTTTCCTCTCTGTGAAGATACAGATATTAACCAAGGGAGTCTGTCAGAAAAAGCCAGTTAGCATTTGCAAGTAGACACAGAATCTGTAGCCTTACACATTATGATGAACTAAGGCTGTGAGTTTTACAATGAGCACATAACACAGGACAAAAATCCTGGCTGCCTGCTGCCATAGAACAAACTTTGTACCCTGTAAATATGTAGTACTCTCATTGGTTAATAAAAAAGCTGACTGGCCAATAGCTGGACAGGTAGAGATTAGGCGAGAGAGCCAAACCAAGAGGACGCTGGGAATAAGAAGGGCGAAGAAAAAGGGTAGGGTCTCAGGAATCTCAAGCAAATGCAGAGAGAAGTAAGATGGATGTGCCGTGTTGAAAAAAGGTACTGCCACTTGGCAGAGGGTAGATAAGAAACATGGGTCAATTTAAAATGTACAAGTTAGCTAATAACAAGCGTGAGCTACCAGCCAAGCATTTATAATTAACAATGAGTCTCTGAGTGGTTATTTGGGAGTGGCTGCCAGGACACGGAAAAGTCCGCCTACAAGTTGCCCTGGAGTTTACTTACTATACATACTCACGCCACTTCAGGGGAGAGCAGTCTAAGGGAATGCAGTTACAGCTTGTGGTAGAGTCCAGGGTCCTGCCTCTGGTCTCTGAACGTGGCTATGGTCTACCCACACAGGCCATTGCACTTCAACCCTTTCGGGAATGGGTGGGGTCCCAAATTTGTGATAATTGGCCAAATGACCAGCAAATAATTTTCAGGAATTTCAAAACCTACGTATTCTGGAATATTGTAACAGGCTGAATGGAAGCTAGAGGCTATTTCTGTGAGTCCTGCCTGGAAACAAACTGTGAGTGAAACTCCCATCTCATGCACAATCTTTTATCATCACACTTCTCAAATGCAATCCCTACACGCCTGTCTCCCATCCTCTTCCCTCCTGAAATAAAGATGGCAGGCAGGCAATAGCTACAAAGCGAGGCCAATGGAAATGAAAGAACCTGGCCCAATCACTGACTTCCCAAGCATGCCTGGATCCAGCATCTGAACACAATTCCTCTGCCTGCAGAAAAAAAAAATGCCTGTTCTCCTCCAACAAAGCCTCATAAAATGAGCCATAATGAAGCTATGGCATAGATACCCAGTGTACTTGAATTACCTGTCTGGTTTCAGGTATACTTCTGTGTTATCACCATTTGAACTATGTATATCATCTAATAGATTTTACGACCCTCTGTAATGTCTAAAACAAAAAAAGAACTCAACAAATGTAAATGATTTAGCCTTCCACAGCAACCATTATCATAAATCATGAATGGAATATGGTAGCAATACGGTCGGTTCTCTGCCTAATAGTTTTGGCAGGACTTCAGGGGGCATATGTCTTCTCTTGGCTCCATCACAGAATAAACATGGTGCCTTCACAACTCACTATATGCTGAAGGAATGTTTGTGCCAACTCTTTCCATACCCGGAATGATTTTCTCATGTATGTAATACAACTTATTTCCTAAATTGGATGAAACAGAGAAAGTATTAAATGATTTATTAACTCCGCTCTTGTAATCTCATTTTATGAAATGAAAACTCCTACCTCACTTTGCTGCCCCAAGCAAGCATACTGTTGAAATGATCCTCGCACATCTGAGGACTCTTTCCCCTTGTTCTAAACATTGAGATTTAGGTAATACCTCACCACAGAAAAGCTGCTGGGGGGCATGATGATCTCACCAGTGTCTCTGAATGCCAACTAATTAAAAATATTTAGCAATATGGAATTTCATATGTACAAACATAAGATGTTCTTTTATGGAGTCACATTATATACACTTAAACTCAGAACAAAAAGAGTTTCCCACTATACCCTGTTCCTATGTGGAAATGTTTAAAGAAAAAAAAAGCTCAGATAAAATTGGTTTTGTGTGTTTAACTTGTGAAAAACATATATGTGATTAAGGACACAGATGTATTAGATTGTAAGATTAAAACCTATGTCTGTGTATTTAGGACTAGCTTTATATAAAGTAAGGGTTATGAGATATTTTATTCTCTTAAGCTAAGAAAATGCAAAATAAGAAATACTCATGTGGACAATAACTCTACTGAGAAAGCACCAGTGAGCCATATATCAGCAGCAAGTGACTTGCTCCGGTCTGCTCCTATAATGAGTCTCAGTACAAAATCAATCATGAATTTATATTTAGGTAATGCACTATTTTGAATGCAGCATAAATGCTCTTGTTTTCCACTTTGATCCTGCCCATCTCCACAGACCTTTACAGACAGCCAGTACCTCCTGAACAAGCAGAAACCCCTGCTGTATTCCTCACGGTCCTGTGTCTGACAGTGCCCCTGGCACCGAACTCTCAGCCCCTTCCTCGGTGATTACTGTAAAGATGACACTTGCTCACTCCTTTTTAAAAAGGGAAACCGTGAAGCTGCTTACCCCCTCTGATGTGCCAGTCATTCTGCAATTAAGACGCACCTAATCACTCTGTTTTCAGCAGATGCAAATGCGGCTCAATTAAAATTCTAGGCCATGTGACAAACTGAGCTCCTCAATTCTGAAAGGTAGCATGTTAGGAATGGGCCACTGAAAAGTCTAGAAAAGTCTAAGCACTTGAGCATTAATGGGCTTGAGAGGGAGCTCCAGGTTCTTCAGCTTCAGCAGTGAACAAAATGTGCCTCTTTGGCTACCACAAACACAGGCTGACTCCCAGCGCATGGCTATCAGTCACCGTTTCCTGTCACTCGAACCGATACTGGGGCTGTAACAAGCCCTGCTGGTTGCTCACTCAAAATTCATTTCTCCCTTTCTGCTTCCATAATTTCATATTGTGTCCAGAATGTGACCAAGCACCAAGGGGTGGATTCATTAAGCTTAAAGAGGCCTACAGAAGCTATGTTCCTGCAGACATGGGAGTACCAAGGTCATTGCACCGGGCATGGCCCTGTCACACTGAATCCTTTGCTTCTGCTGGGTACGGAAGGGAAACTGTGAAAGTACCCTGTGGACAGAGGAGCAGACAGGGAGGAAAGACACTGGGTCTTGTGACACTGGTGAGCTGTGGAATAATAAACCCACAGTGGCCTGGCTGCACAAAACACCGCATCTCCTTACCATTTAATTTGTGGAGTCAACTTTACTATTAAATACGGCTAAAAGCAAGTGGACACAGCATAAGGCAGACATGAAAATAGCTGTAAAATCGCTACAGTTATGTATGAAAAATGTCAGGATAGTAGATAAGGCAGTTCTGGATATATTTCTAGGTTTAGACAAACTGTCGAAGATACATAAACAGAGAGATCCCAAACTAAAACTAGAATGCTTTTTGTTGTTGGTTTTTGAGACAAGGTTTCTTCTCTGTGTAGCCCTGGCTGCTCTGCAACTCCTTTTATAGACCAGGCTGGCCTTGAACTCAGAGATCTGCCTGCCTCTGGTTCCCAAGTACTGGGATTAAAGATATACACTGCCACATCTGTCTTATAACATAATTTATAGCCACGCAATAAACACACTCCTCTGAGGGCCAGGGCTAAAGACAAAGAGCACTGGTAAATATCTGCTGCATTAAGGAGCCGTTTCCCGTTCTCATGTATGAAGATCTATGCAGAGAATAGGAAAGCTTCACGGTAAGGACATGGGTTCTTAAGTAACTTAAATTCACACGGGAAAACAGAGGATAAATATCAAGCTTGTCCTGGACAACTCCCCAGCGTCACAAGTTTAAATTGCCTTAAATAAGTTAAGAACGAGGTAGTCGGAGTGCAGAGTTGGGACTGAGGAAAGGCCCAGGCGGGAATGTGGTTGCTGTGTAAGAATGAAGATACGAGCTCAAGATATGGTTTTAAAGAAGCTGTGTGCAGTGACGCGCACTGGTAATCTCTGCTCTGTGGACAGGGAGACAGGATGTCCTGAGTGCTCACCGACAGCCACCTTTGGGGAGCTG